GCTCGGCAGCAACAATGATACCCTTCTGCAGCCTATTCTTAAAGTAACTGTTTGTATGCTCCTTGTGACAAGTTTCTGGAGGTTTTAAGCATGGCTATAGTGACTAGGATTACGACAGCGCTTGTGCATGGCTGACATTCATAACCGTTAATAGACAGAAGGATTCGTGCCAAAACACACCGCCGATTGATTGTACTGTTGATAATCATTGCATATATGACATGTTAGTCTTCGTGTTTTTCCTTTGGCGGTCTGGTCGATGATCTGAACGAGGACACTGAGTCCACTGAGTGGTTGGGGATGTGTGCGATCGTGTTGGACGTGGAGGAAGAAGAGGAGGTGCGCGAAAAACCGGAGAACAGCAGAGGACGGAGTTCGCCCATCCCGAAAGCCCGACCATGGAGAAAACTGTGTCGCTTCCCAACAATCTGTCATTCCCACCAAGAATCACAACCTGTCAGGTTCCCAACTGTAGTTGATGAGTTCAGAAGTGTTCAATAGATCGACCAGTCTGAAGTCTAAAGTCCCGACGTCGCACGAGTCCCACCGACGGGTGCCAGGTTGAGTCGGTCGCCCACCTGTCGGGGACGCGCTGAATGCGCGACGCGTGGGTGAAAGCGAGTGACGCCGCGGGACGCGGAGCGTTCCACCGAGGCCGAAGTAAGCGAAGCGTTGCGTCGGGTCTCCAGTAGCCTCGAGACCCGACGCAACGAGTTGCTTTGGACACGATGACCCAGCGCAACGAGCCTGGCATAGCCCATTTCTTTGCAGATTCTGAAGCGCAATTGTTGCATTTGGGTAGTAAGGCACTTGTTATTACTAGCGTGGCACTTGTTTCTATTAGCTTCTTGATACTACTAGTAAGGCACTTGGTACTACTGCATTTGGGTGCTTTTGGTTGGATGCGAAGAAATGGCCTCACATTTTTTTTGACAAGTTTGAATGTTAAGACACCGCTCCTAACGTGACCTTAGGACTTCTTGCCTTCTTGCAATTGAATTTACAAAATGAATGCGCACAATGGGTTCTGCATTTATATTTATGTTTCCTGTGCCCATTGGAGGGAACGGTGCATTTGTGCTTCTTCGTTGAAGCTGCTGCGTGGTTTTCATCCTGGCCATTTCGGACGTTTTCCTTGTCATGTTATATAGTGTGTTCTTTGAATTGACATATTAATATTTTGTAATATATTCTAACAATTTCTACTTCCTTTCAGGCCTGCGAACTTCTTACACTGCAGTACATCTGGGTGCTTTTTGGGGCACCACTTCTACCACTTTACATCATTCCTTGAGCACCGATTTAATGCCAAGACCTGGTGCCAAATCTTGCCGATGAACAACGGGCCCCTTGAAAACAAGGGTCGCCCGGTTTATTCGGGACCTGCTCTTCAGCCACCGAAAGTTCGGTGGTCTCAAGAAGACAGGGCCATCGACGACAGATGATGGAAGCTTCAGAGTGCAAAGGCAAAATTACACCAATAGATGTATAATTAATAGTAATTACTTGCTTTCGTATTGCAGGTCGTTATGCTATTGACATATTGACATGTAAAATCATGTAAAAAGTTGGTTGCACATGATCGATAGTATATAACACCGCGCCATGAGCTCATATTGCACATATTGAATACAAATTGAACATTTTTCTAGAACGACATTGATGACTGGTACCATCAATTTTGATTGTTTGGTCTCTCGGGATTTCTTTAAACTATCCTGAACGTTTGCCCTCTTCTGTTCAGCTCCCCTTGCCGCCGTCTTGCACTCCCCACTCCCGCAGACTCCCGCACTGCCTTGGGTGAGTGACTCGCGCCTGGAGATTGGTGGCCTGTTCCGGACACGTTTGTTTGTTTGGTGGCCTGTTTGGATGGGAAAACTATGGCCGAAGATCCAGAATCAAACAAAAGGATCAAACAAAGGTGCTTCCGCTTCGGTGGTACACCACTGGAAATGGGCGGCTTATTCACAGTTCTTGTTTCTTTGCCGGTTTCATTTGTAGTGAGAACCTCTTAACTTGATGTGTATGGAAACTGCTAGTGAAACTGCTGTGTACGTTCTGCTAATTCTGGACACTCTAGGGTTGATAAGTGTGGACGTTTCACTGCTTTCCTGAAGAGTTGTGTAGTCCTTCTCCAATTTTGAATGTTTCAGGCCCATGTGGATGCTGCCGACGATCAGTTTCTTTCCGTTTTACTCCTTCAGGATGTCTTCAAATCCCATGATGTCAGTCGCTGATGGTGATTGCAAGTTGAGTCAAGAGGACACTGAGATTTCAAGCTCTTGTGGATTCTTGTGTTATTTTTTGCACACAATCTTCTGGTATAGACACATGTCCTGAGGGTGACGACCATCCTTTTGCATCAATAGCAGCCGCTTTGTCTCCTGACAGTCCTCTGCCATGATGGTCATGTTCCAGCACAGGTGAGAGGGAGAACGGCCACGTCATGCCGGGGAACCTTTGAGGGGATCCGCATCCAGTGCGATGGCTAGTTCCGGGCCGCTTGCTGTATTGCTGGTTGCGTGGCAGTGGGGAGTGCAGTATACTGACGTGCGTTACCGCATTGGCGTCGGTCAGCGACCTCTTGCGTGCGAGCAGCGCACGACAGCGGTGGCGCTCGACCGCCACACTCAGGCAAGGCTTCAAAAGGACTAGATCAGCAGCTCCAAATCGCGGCGCAAGGAGCTTTGTCAAAAGTTGGATGTAGCCCAAGGAATCGAGAAAGCCTTGGAGAAGGCTTTTGTAGCTTTGAGACCTTTCATTTGCTCCAGTGAGCTAGTGCATGTCCGCAGTGCTTCTTTAGAGTGTTTTTGCGGGAAAACTCATCCTAGGCTTGAGCCAAGGCAGAAGTGAGTGCTGCAGTTGGCACTTCCGACAGGTGATTGCTTTATGTTGCCAATGCAAGCAGCTCGCTTTTGGAATACTCCCGGCGCTTCAACAAACAGCTCCCTGAAACAGCTATTGGCTGTGCTAAAATCCATGGAGTTCACGTCGCTAGCATCATGCCCAAATACATCTCATCCAGCTCTATGTAAGCATCCAAAAAAACACACGTGGCATCACACACGTGGCATCACATGGCTACCAAGCGCCAAAAGATACGTACCAAACGCATCCAAACGCACTATATAGATTCTCTCTAAGAAGACGAACGCTACAGCAAGGCCCTTGGAAGAAGAGAAACCAAGAATCACACACACACCACTTCACCACTGCACCAGTCCCGACTCGGGAAGAGCTGGACGACGGGACGACTTGGGTTAGGACGCTCGCTTCCCGAACGGAGCTTCCCGCGCCATGGCCCGATGTCCCGCCCGGGCGGCCGCGCGAGTCGCAAGGCGGAACGGAGCGCGGAAGAGGCGAGCAGGGAGAGGATGGGTTTGGAGATGGCTTTGGAGTGAGGAGTGAGATGGAGTGAGGATGTTGTGTGATTTCAGACGTTGGGAGATGGCTTTGGAGGATGGTTTGCATGTTCTCGACGTCCAGATTTCTCACCTACAAACATTCACACATGATGTATATACATGTATGATGCTGATGACTGGAGCTCAGAATGATCACAAGATATTACGAGAAGCAAGTTTGCATGGACAAGAATGAACGTCAAGTCCGCCCTGCGGACTGGAGATGACTGGAAGCACCGGAAGCTTTGTGTGGCTGAGCTTTCAAGGCAGAAAAGAATCTACTTGAACTTCGAAAGAAGACCGGAGTTGGAGGGCTCTCTGCAAGCTGCCCCAGTCAAAGATTTGTTTTTTACAGCTGGGAGAGTGGGAAGATCTTGGATGGTTGCTTGACATTGAACTCCGAGCCAATTACTCTCCAGTCCAATCCAGAAGATCCCGAATTGAACAAATCGATTTCCAAATCGTCATCCCATCCTTAGTCCCTTAGTCATCCTTAGAGCCTTAGACAACCTCTTCGAGTTTCAGTCCCCTCAAACTTCTGTTTGGATCTCCGGCTCAGGCTGAGACAGACTCCGATGACTCGCAGGACGCATACGAAAGACCGTTTTGACGGGTTCGGCCAGTCAAATGAGTTGGTTTCCGCGTTGACTCCCAACCCTGGATTCCATTCTCCCCAAATCTAGGCTTGGCAGTTGCAGATATATGTGTTTTTTTTCCCCTCGAGTTAGAGCAAAAACGCATCCCTTTTTGCTGGCTGTGATCCTGCATGGTACCTCGGCCTCAAGACGCAGAGAACAAAAACACGGTCCAGGTGAGCTGCGGTGAGAACCCGCAGAGAACCCTCCAGGAGATCCCCTCCGTGCCCTCCATGGTGGCAGCCGTGCAGAAGGAGATGACCAGCTTTCCCGCTGCACGGGGAGTGCAGGCGCTCGCGGCGCGCTTTCGCAGGTTCTGGCAACCTGAATTCCGCTAGGTTCTACGCCCAGCTGTTCTGTAAAGGCAACAAAAACACTCAATTTAAGGGCTTTGAAGTGCCACAGCAAACAAAAAACCACCGGCGTTTGCCAGGAACATGGCTGTGCCATCATCCGAAACTTAGCATGCTCGGATGAGTGGTTGGTGGGGAGCCTCGGCATGCCTCAGCTGTGGGCTTGAAACGATCGGAGGGACTCTTCGTCATGTTTTTCATATATACTGTACACTTTACCCTTTATAATCTTTTTTTAAGTGTTAATTTCTTCCAAAAGAAGACATGAACATTATTGAACATATGACCGTCGCTGTGGATGGAACGGCTGCTCCTCAGCCTCAGTTCTTGTTAAGACTGTTAAGAAACCCTTTCTCCATCCAAGACTTCGAAGTCCCTGAGGACTACATCGAGAAGATTGATGGTCCAACATTGGTGATCTCGGCTCTTCATCGCTTTAAGTTGGCAGCTTCAGTTCAGGAGCGTCGAGCCGGCCCAGCCGACTGCGCGACCGAGCCGACGGGTTCGGACCGAGCTGCTTGGCAGCGCTCCGGGGCTCTCCAAGACACAGTGAAGGAGGTCTTTCTGTGTAGCGCGACGTTGGTCAAAGCGGTTCCATTCCATCTTTCTTCGTGTCGCGCGATGCGGGTTTTTTTCATCGGTGGCTGGGTCGAATGCCGTCCAGATTCGTTGATGTGAAGAACGTGCCATCTGAGTCTCTAGGAGGCCAAATTCACCTTTGAGCTTTTGTGGGAAAAGGAGACCTCAATCAATTGGAGGCGGCCCGCCCTTGGGTGGGTCCTTTTTTTGCCAGGAGCAAGGCTTGGGTGTGTGCGGATCTCAGAGCTGAGCGGAGAAACGGAAGTCTGGGGAGATCAGACGACCAGCGGTGACCAGCAGCGCGCGCTGGGCTGGCGCGCGCTGGGAGGGAGGGAGAAACGGATCCGAACACCGCAGCATGAGATGCTGAGATGCAGAGCTGCAGCAATTTTGGTTGCAAGGTGTGCCATTTTTTCGGACCTCGGTTTTTTTTCGGAGAAGCTTGGTGTCCAAAGCCGTTTTCTCAGCAGCCTGAGGCTCAGTAACCTCGCCAGCAGGGCAAAGCTCAGAGAGAGGCGAAGCGCGGTTTGCGTTGTGAACAAGTCGATCCCGGCCTGAACTGACCTAACTGTTGGTGGCCCCGGGGCTTTTGAACATTTGAGAAAATGTGGAACACCGTGGGACTGTGGGATAGGACCCAGTTATTCGTTTCTTAAAATTTGGTGATTTTTGGTGTTTGTTTTGGGACATGAGTTCGGAAGCTCCACTCCTTTTTGCATCTATACATCGAGGTATATAGATATCATGGGTCATGTGTCATTGAATTCCCCCTCCGCGTGCACAGGCTCTCGAGCCAAGCTGCGCTGTCCTTGGTTCAATCCGCGCTGTTTGAGTCTTGGCGAGCGATGGGGCCGTCGTCACACCATGAGGGACCTCCAGTTCGGTTTTGGCGATGGCCTCCACCCTAGTAGCGCCTCCAAGCTGATACCCGATGGCCTCCACCCTTTTGGGGATGGACTCAGTCTTGCAAGAGTTGCATCAGTTTTGCCTAAGGAACATGCAGATAAACCCGGTGTTTGCACACAAGCGTGTGGAGACCTCAGGAACGATTCGCTGGTTACTTGCAGTGATAGTGTGTCAACTATTGATGCCGCTCTGGACATGCTGATGTCGGAAGCACTCGAACACCAAACAACGGACACCCGGAGCGGCAGGTGCTGCACTTTGGAACCTCGTGGCGGATCACCAAGAAAATCAGGCCACGACAGTGGACAGTTCGGAGTTGTTTCAAATTTTCCGTGCCAAGAGCGATCTCTTCTGGAAAAGACAATAAAGATAACACAGAACAGCGAAAAGATATGTGTTTGACAAGATAATTATTATTGTTGTTTTCCGTTTCGTTTTGTGTGGTCCCCAAAAACGACTTAAAACGGAGCTCCTGTAGTCCACCCTCACCAGAGCATCGGTGGAAAGACCTTGGGAGGCGGCCGCCGATGAGCTGAGCATTTCGCAGAAGGTTTGCGAGGCCCATCCGCGCTCTGCATAGATATTCTTTGTTTTTGTCGCAGGGTTTGAAGGGAAGAGCTGAATGTTCTTGTGAGGTCATGGAAACTCATTCAGCTGACGAAGAGCTCCTGGAAAATGCCTACGGCGTTGGTGCCCTCAAGAGGGTTCGCTGTGCATCTTATTCACAGCGACGAGAAGCGACTCCACTCGTCCTGACGAACGCGACGCGCGGAAACCGTTCCGACTGACCTGACCGACTCTTTGACCGTTCGCCGTTCGATCGGGTGAGGCGATCAGTAACCTCGCCTCCTTCAACCAGAACAACAAGCAGGTCGAGCACGGCGGAGCGGAGCACGGCGGAGCGGAGCAGGGTTGGCGATGTTTCGGGGGCTTCGGCACAGAAATCGGGAGAACGAAGCAGCGAAGCAGCGAAAAAAGACACGATGTCTTTCTTTTTTTGGATTTCCCCCCCTCCTTGAAACGACTGTTTAGAACTGGGGGGCCCAACAAAAACATTGGGCATCCCCCTTCAGATCATTCAGATTCACGCAGCGGAACACGTTTTCTTTTTGCGTTTCAAGCTCAGATGGAGCCGCTTTGGCCGTCTCTTCATTCGTCGCACTCCGGCTGTCCGAGGCGGTCATCGATGTGAATGGGTCCATGGGCTCAGATCTTCACGCACTTGTGGAGTCGAACCACCAAAAAGACACGAGCTCGAGCGAGCTGAAGCGATTGGGGAGGATGCTCGGATCGATCACATCTTCAGTCACCGACCTTTTGGATCTCTGAATCCACTGTTGTCCCCTGTCACCCCTTTCAGTCACCGCCCCCCGGCTCCAGAATTCGTTCCGACCCACCCAGGCTGGACAGTATTTGCCGCGGTCTGCTCTGGCTGGAGTTGGGCATTGGAACTGGTTGAGTGATTTTGTGTGAGTGTGTCCTTGATAACACTTCGAAGATTTGGGAAGAGTGGAACCAATAATGAATATCTGAATAACGTTAAACGACATGGACAATATGTATAAGGCAGGCAGGCTCATCCTTTTCGATGCTTCCAGCTTCTGGGGAGCTCTTGTGGTCTCTGATGTTTGTTTCGTCATCCGGATCTTGTGGCGTTGAACGATGGACGTCCTCCGCAGCGAGCGCCGCGCGCGCGTCAGGCATGCAAGGTCACCTCACCGTCACCGCCGTACGGGGGCCGAGACGAAGGGCAAAACGACGTGGAAAGAGGAGGGACAAACGGAAAGCGCTTGATACATGGGATTCTGCAGTGGTGTGCTGATGAAATGACCATAGCCAGACACTCCATGTATGGGCTTACGGCTTACTATACCGAGGTGGTTTCAGGGCAAAGTGTAATACACCTATAGGGTGTGCTCCATTACCGGTGACATTGCTAGTGATGCTCTTTGGTGTCCCCAACCAAGTCTTTGATCTCCAGGGGAGGCGAATGCGGACCTAGACCGTCTAGGACCATCTAGGATTTTCGAACAAGAGAGCATTTGCATAGTGAAGTGAGCCCCAGTGCAATTCGAAATTGGTTGTTGCAGGATTTCGGCTTACATGTTCTGAGAAAGGGGATGTGGGATTCACTTTTCCCTTTCCCATCTTTGTCCACTTCCATTTTACGTGCCGTGTCACCATACTGTTCTTGAGGGATCTCACAAAGACTGGTCATTGCTCGAGCTCGAACAATGTTTGAAGCCCATTGGCCAGAATTTGAGTGTGTCTCGTGTGTCACGAGCTCTCTCACCAGCAGAGCTCGTGGCGTGGCAATCGCGGACAAATACACATGGCAGTGGGTCATGACACCCGAAGCCTGGTTGACCTCCCTCACTATATAGTCTATTCTGTGGTCAACCAAGGTCCCCCGGTGCCAAATGACGCAAGCCCCATGTTCCTTCCTTCCTTCCTTCTGCCGAGGGACGTTCCTTCCTTCCGCCGTGCCCCTCCGAGGTTCAACGGCAGGGCTGTGCCGCGCTTTGGAGTTCCCCCCTGCCTGTACCGCTGGACGATGTCGAACCGCTCCGCGGTCGCGGACTCCGTGGTTCGCCGAAGCGCCAGGTTTGAGCGCCAACAGCGAAGCGGCACAGATTGCAGCGTTTGAAGCCAATGCCATTGCTGCTGCTCTGTTCTCAGCTACGAAGCAACCAAGTGACGGCTTGGTGGCCCTCAGTGAGCAATAGACATAATAGACCACAACCAAATGCTGGAGGGTTTCCCTATTAAAACACTATCCCATATTGACCACTGCGCCACTGCGGTCCAAGCGATTGCCATGACCCCGATGACATCGAGGTGTGTCAAGCGATGACATCGGAGCTTGTTGGGAGCTCATCGGGCGACCAGTCTTTTTTCTCAAACCGGTGGGAAACACCTCATGGGTTTGTTTGATAGCTCCTAGCAGGAAGCAAGTGACATGGCCGTTGAGCTAGGTTGTAGGATTTCAGACACCAAAGGTTCCTTCTTGTCCTTAGTTTCTAGATTATAAGCTTATAAGTCTAGATGCTTTTAGGCGTGTATCATGGCGCGACAGCTGGCGTGGCGGTGTTTTCTCATTTTTTTACTCATTGTTTTCTGTGCCAAGATGGACCCAAGCCTTCAGCAATGTGGCTGCGGGCTTTTGCGGAACCTCACCGTCAGCAACGACGATTACAAGGTGGGGTTTTCACCACCACCAGCACCCAAGGGCTAAGGGGTGGATTGCGACCTCACTGGTTTATCATCCAATGATTCTTGGCCGAAGTGAAGTGCCTATGGGCGAGACGCGATGGATCTCACCGCCGTCGTTCTCTCGTTTGGGGATGAGTTTTTTCGGCTGTGCTCTAAGTTGCCAAGTCCTTCTATGATGACATGGTAAAAAAGCTCGCTTGTGGTTAAACATATATATATATATATATATATCAATGGCAGACGGAAAAGGAGATTGGAGGTCATCGTTTTTGTTGGAGTCTGGAGGTCATCGCCGCTAGGTTTTGGCCAAAACATCGCTCTGGAACGACTCTGTTCCTCGGGTCCCGGTCGAGGTCCGTGCGGTGCGGCTGGGCTCGGCCGAACGCGCCCGGCAGCCCGGCCGGTACGGTCGATGCCGTCGATGCTGGAGCTTGGAGCTTGGTGGAGCTGACATGAAGGGCTCAACGAGGCGAGGCGAGGCATCCGAATGCGGACGTCAAGGATGGACGTCCATGGGAGTAAGTCATCAAGTCTGGGTCGTGTGTTTGTCATCGTGTTTGTCATCGTGTTTGTCATCGTGTTTGCTCTATACGTACCAACCGGGTCATTTTGGCACACATTCTGTTAAACGAGTGTACAATTAAGCTGTAAGGAGGTGTGCGATGATTTTTGGGGAGGTTCTGAAGCAAAGAGGGCTGGCTACTCCGGTGTTTATGGATGTTTATGGGTCTGTTCATGGGTCCCAACGCGTTGAACCGATGCCAGTGGAGGTGCGAGTTGCGCTGAGGTGTGTGAAGCGCTTGCACGTCATGATGATGTGCGCGTGTGGCTCCTGCAAGACTTGGTCGACAGATGGACGACATGTTTTTTGTTTGTTCGGTTTGGGTGGGGCAAGACTGTTTGGCCAGAAACTGAGGAGTTCGCGTTATTGTTTCGAGAAAAAACATGCAAATTGAGTTGTTTTCTTCGAGCAAATCAAGGGATGCCATGGATTTGGCCATGGAGTGGTCTCTTAGTTATTCTTAACCTGCCGAGTGGTCGAGTGGTCGAGTGGCGATCAGCAGCTGACCAGTTGAGAAACTCAGCGCCGCAGGCAAAGGCAGGCATGCGCTGTCTTGTTCAATTTGGCATCAGTGGGCTTGGAGGAGAGTGGGTTCCGAAGAACAAGCCGAAGCCCAGGGACGAGTCGGGACGAGTCGGGACGAGTCGGGACGAGTACGAAACGCTTGGCTTGGTTCGTTGGCCATGCCAGGTCCAATCAGTTGAGATGCCCATATGCAGCCTGTGATTTTCCACACCCAAGCATGCCATGATGAGCCCACAAGAAGCTACAAACGGGGCTCCTGGCCTCGCGACTCGAACGGAGCATTCTGACGAAAGCTTGGGACTCTGGGCACTGCACAGCGCTAGGAGTGCCACCAAGAGCTCCTGGACGCCGATGCCGTCAGCCGCCTCTGCACAGCGATTGCCAGCCGCATCAAGGAGCGCTGTAGACGTCGACGTCAAGGGTCTTGGCCAAACGTGTTGCGAAGGGCTTAGACTCAAAATGTATTGGACAAGTAACATCCTTTCTATTTTTTTTGGGGACCACTATGTGTACATCTTGATATCCTTTTAAACCACTTTAGACAGACTTTAGACACATGTATGTGGGTCACATCATGCGTGGGTGCTTCAGATTGCCAATGTAGCACACATCATCGACTGAGAGTTGCATTGAACTTTTATTTATACCAGGAGCCGACAGGGCCCTTCCCAACCAACTAACGACCTGGCAGTGAGGGTGCCATCGGACGGGCGACGCCAACGTCCGCCAGGACGTCTCGGTGGTGGAGCCTGCCGGGGATCCTGCGGAAAGCCCCTCATCCGCCGCGCCGATCCAACACGGGTGTTTCAATGTGTTTCACCAAGGCCTGTGGCGCTCTACGACTGCTGGCAGCGGGTGCCAAGGCCTGTGAAAAATGGTGTATAGAAGCTATAATTGAAGCTATAATTGAATCTTGCTTGGTTGGGGTCCCAAACTTCGTTGGAACAGGATGGGAAGCCAGGCAGGGACTGAGCTCAGTTCGTCATCTCGTCATCACGGCGTCAGCTGGTCGGTTCAGCTGAGTCGGATTCGAAAGCAGGTGCGGCGAAGCACATGTTGGAGGAAGAGATGGCACGAAGACCAAGACACCACCAAGACCTCTGTCTCAACAGCTCCAAGACCTCCTTCGGTTGGCTGATAAGGGTCGGCTGGTTGGGTTCTTTCGCTGAGGTGCAACATGTGATTCAGGCCTCCTTCGCCAACCCGGACGTGAACTTGGTGTTTGGGACTCAGCACGTTTACAAGAAAAACGGAGGTGACTCCGCTGAAATCTTTCAGATCAGTTTGGAGACGTCTTCCAAGCTTACATAGGCATGTATGGCATATATGTATGGCTTCATTTACTTCACATGATGGTCTTTGAGGCAACGCCAGTGTTTGGAAGCTCTTCGCCATGCGTTGGCCACTGAGTCGACTCCTTCGTCGTGCGGCCATCGCCACGCCACCCTCGATGAGGTGCTCTTGGGAGTCGGGCGCTGCCACCGTGGAGGCCCATCGTGGTGCTTTGGCCACCTGCCGGGCCATGAGCAGGTGGGAGCAGGGCCAAGCACCGTGGTGCTTAATTACGTGTGTGAACGGAAGGGCTTTGGGTCGTTTGGGGTTGAAACGAGATCCACGAGATCCGGAGGAGGATAGACCGGATAGGCACCCAGCCCTTTCGCAGAAGTGAAGGATAGATGTTACATGTGTTACATGTCAGGTGCGCGATCCTTTCATTTCGGTTTCTGCGGTCCTGGAGGCATTGGCAAGATGCACTCATCCAGGAACGTGGCTGTGGGATCTTCCAAGGCGCGACCATTCTTGAAGCTACGAACGGGGCGCTCCTGGCATTACTACTATAGTAACAAGATGTAACAAGCAGCTACGAACGCAACTAGTAACAAAGGGCATTACTACTCGTAGCAAATAGCGTTCAACTTTTTTTGACAGACAAAAAGAAACGGATCAGGTCGTTCCATTCATTCTGTTCAGTTTCTTTGGTCAACCCAAAATCAGTCCGATTCCATGACCCACAACCATATCTCTTATGCCAACGCTACTAGGGTGGAGGCCATCGCCAGCAGGTTGTTCTTTATCAAGTTTTCTTCGCTATTTGTTGTCTCATTCCTCAAAGATTCTTCCACGAGTGCCGCCCCTGAGGCCTCGCCCAAGGAGCGGCGTTTTACCGGGGGTTGTCGCTCTCAAAAAGTGACAAAGTCTCGCTTGAAATGAGCAAAAAGAACGAAATGAGACCGGAATGCCATTGACCTTGTCCTATTTCCGACCGAGGAGCCCGCAAGGGTTGGAGCTCCCTCCTGGCAGCTGGAGGGTGCGGCTTGCCCAGCGGGGTCAGCTGCGCGCGTGGTCGGCTGCAACGTGGTCTGTCATTCTCCACATGCTTTTCATCCTGTCTTCTTGCTGGCTTGTTCAAGTTCCGGTTGAACACCAGATGGAACCGGGCTGAGGTTGAAGCAGGTTTGCCAGGCCATGAGGCAATTTCGCACGGTGCGAAGCTTGCAGATGGCTGCTTTCGAGGCGTGCGTCGACTTGGTGCTCTCTTGTGTATGCAGCGAGCGGCAAGGGTCCAAGACATCATGGAAGTGGAAAACCACCTGCTTGTACGGGAAATGGTCATCCAAGGGGCCGTGCCATCCACGTAACCATGAAGATTTCAGGGAGTGAGGTGTCTAATATATGAGGATATGTTTGAGTGAGGATCAGCTGGCTATAGTGACTGTGACACCTCCAAATCTGGAGAGGCTTTGCTCGCTCTGCCAAGTGAAGCCGCAAAGGAGGTCGAGGCCAATAAAGATCAATAAAGATCATATGAATCATTCGTCCAATCATTTGGCACATTATTCTGGCTTCTGATTGACTTGTTTCCTGCTCCTGCTCGGGCCAGGCGGCTGGCTGCCACCAGGAACTTTTGGCTTCAATGTCGGCCTATGGCAGTGATTTGCAGTTGCTGGTGGGTGGCCTAAGACGCAGGTCGCTAGTTACAGAGGTTTTTTGGCTCACACGGTCGAAGCGTCGAAGCAGTGCTGGCTTTCGAGGGTGTGGGCATGAGGTCAAAGGATGCGGTGCGGTGAGACTACTGGCATCTGGTTCGGTGGCACTCCAGGAATGCATGTATTTCTGTCAAGAATACAAGAAGCACAGGATTTTTCAGCGAAGCAAAGACAACTCAAAAGACTAAAAGCAAGTACGTCGATTCCGTCGATCCTTTTTTTGGAACGATGTATTTCATCAGGAGGCACGACAACCTTTGATGAGATACATCCAGGAGTTTCCAGATGAGGTGTGGATCGAGACGCGTTGCCTTTTGGATTCCGAAAAAAAAGGACATGAGATAAAACATACCTTGGATTGGAAGTGTTTTTGAGTTCGTTTTGGGTTTGCCTTTTGCCTTTTGCATACGTTTGCCAAACCTTTGGCCAGGTTCCCTTGCTGGTCGCTAGCAGCAATGCCTTGGCGGAGATCAGCATGCATGAAGGGTTGCACGCCAGACACCAAGCTTCCATGTGAGTTGGTCTCAGAATGGGTCTATTTTCCACAACTCAGTTGCACCCACTTTCTTCATTGTCACACTGCGGTCTTCTTTAAAACAAAAGGAACGATGGAATGAAACCAGTCGACTCCGATGTCGACTCCGATGTCGATTCTCACCCGGGCCATTCTGCAAGTCGAGGTCCTTGATCGATCCTTTGTTCAAGGCATCTCCAACTTTCTGGTTGGGACACCCAGCATCCAACGTCATCTCATTGGAAGAAGGGGGCTGTTTTCGTCTCGCTCCCTTTTTTGGGTTTCTGAACCGCTTCGAAGCAGCGAAGAGGCGAGACGGTGGAACCCACCCACCCCAGTGATCCGAACGGATGTTCCCGTGACCATTGGTTCGGTCGGTTTCATAAGGTGGAGAGCTCCTTTGTTGGATGTGAACGTGGGCTCTTGTGGAGGTCTCCAGTCGGTCACAAGGTGTCTTCCAGACCTCCTGGAAGAGGGCGATACAGGAGAAGAGACCTCTTGAAGAGTGCCGGGAAACCGCTCACGGTTGTTGGGAAACCGCTCTCAGGGTGTGGTCGCGTGAATCGTGGTCTTTCGTGGTCGTGGATCGTGGTGCCGCACGAACGGCTGGTGATCAGGTGGCGCATAAGAAAGATGCCCAAGCACAGGCGATGGCCGTCAGTATGGGCGAGTAATTAGTGGAGTCGTCATATGAAGACATTGAATTCGGTTGAAGTGAGGGGCGACGGAGTAGTAGGGCGTGTGGCACAAGTCCAGTTCGACCGGAGAATGTGATGCTCACAAGATCTCACAATGCTCACCCAAGTTTCTTCGCTCACCCCTTGGGTGTCTCATGTCACCCATGGTCACACTGAAGCTGAAGTGCCTGGCTCAAAGCCCACCCAAATCCATCCCAATTGTCCCCCCAACGGTTTTCCATTCTCACCAGCGGTGCGTCCACGGTTTCTCTCCCCCCAGAGGTGCGTCCACGGTTGCGTGGCCCCCAACGACCTCGGATCGCTGCCCTCGGACCGTGAGGCCGCCGGAATGAACGGCTTCCGCGCCATGGCCACCGTGGGCCCGGCGGCCGAGGATGGCCCGAACGTCCGTGGAGGTGATGAGAGGTGATGAGAGGTGAAGACGGAGGGAGTTTCACAGGTTTTGGGAATACGACTTTGGAGGGGTTTCACCTGTTTTCACAGTTCCACATGTTTTGGGGCGGAAAGAACATGAAAGAACGACCTCACAGATTGACCAGTGACCAATTGTCCATGATTTGGTTGAGTATCTTGTAGATCGGTGGATCATATTAGTATAAATATGTCCTCACAAAAAAGACTCATAAGAACCAAGACTTAGATAAACTCTATAGAGCGATGCTCTTCCATTGATCCCAGCATGTCCCAAGAACTTGGGCTCAAAATGACCACCTGCACCTCTCGGAGCTTCTCGTGATCACCGGCAACCCGCAGTCCGGAACTCGCAGCGAGTTGCGCAAGGAAGGAAGCTTCCAAAGCGGCTGAGGAATCCAGTATACCCTGCCTGGAACAATCATGGGAAGTGGAAAACCACCACCTGCTGGGCATTCGGAACTGTCCTCCGAACTCAAGGGCCCTTGTACTGGCCCTCAAGGGCCCTTGTCCTTCCACGTCACCATGGGTGTTTTTTGGATTTCGTGTACAACGGCTTCGCTTCATCTCAGTCACTGCACGCGAACGACGACTCTCGCGGAGCGAGCCTGGCTGGTGCAGATGGCGTGAGTGGCGGAGTACCATCAAGAAGTCTTAAAGACTGGCTGGCGCAAGAACAGCACACTGCATGCAGCGTGCTAGGAAGAGTGGCCTGTGTTTGCCTGAAATGGCCCGCTGAAATGACCATGACGGAAGTTGTGCGACTGCTGCTTGAGGCTAGTGCTGCTCCAATCACACGGAAGCGAAGCAACCGCTGGAGAAAGGGGGAAGAACACATGTCACGCGGTCACGCTGCTTGGCCGCTCTTGTTTTCTTTGATCACTGTTTGGCAGTATACACAGGATATTCGGAGAATCCAGCAATCAAAGGATGCAACGAATGCTGCAGCATGGTACAGCTGTGGCTGAACTGGTCGAGCGTTCACTGCTTGAAGAACATCACTGGGCGTGCGAAGAGGCCGGAGGCACCTCCGTCTCCCCGTCGCCTTGGACCTCGACCTCTGGACAGTCCATCCACGTTGGGAAAGCAGTTCTGAATGGGGAACCCGCTGAAAAACGACTTGCTCAACGCCTCTGAGGCTCCAGAGATGGTCGTAAACCAGCGCGCCGCGCCCGAGGTGCTTCGAGCCTGGAAGCGGCGCTGGAGGCGCGGTGCATCGAACGGGCACGTCCGGGCATCCCAGTGGAGGACGGAGCGCGGGGGATGTTGGTTGGGAGAAGGGACAGGTAGTTCGTCATGGTTAAATGTGTTGTTGTTTTGTATTTGACGTGGTCTTTTTTTGGATGAAAAGACTGGATCATTGAATAGATTTTAGTATATTTTAATAAGTCTAATCTAAAAATTGGTCTTCAGTTCTTTTGTTGCTTTCTCGAAGGTGAGAAGAGGTGAGAACCACACAGGTGGGAGTGAAGGGGGAACTGGAACATGAAAGGAGTGCCTACCTTGCACAAGCACTGCAGCCAATGACTGGGGTCTCCCAAAACGCCGGGGGTGAAAAGAGAAAGGCTGAGCCATGTTCGGCTGGCCACCTTCCGACGTGTTGATTCGGCCTCGTGTTGATTCGGGTGAACGAAGGCATGGCTTTGCTGGATCACAAGGACCACGAGGCGCGGAGCCCACGTCTGCTTCGGGAGGTTCTTTGGGTCGCCGCTTGTGAAGCGAGCCGCGCACGGGAACAAGGGAGGTTTGACAGAAATCGATTCGGGTCGTTCCAGGAGGTGCAATCGAGAGGACTGGATCTCCTGCAGAGAGCGCCTCGGCGGAGCCGGAGCCAAGGGGCAGCAAGGCCACAAAGGGAATGAGAGAATGACCCCTCACTATATAGATACCGGATCCATTCCCTCATTCCTTTACTAAGTACATCTAAGCACCACTCAGCAGTTCATGAAGTTTCATCAAATTGATCATTGACATGAGTGCTTCGGAGTGCTTGGCAGCTGCAAGGTTGCAGCTTACAACACCAATATGCGTCGGGGCTGCCAAGTGGTTGCACGGCAGTCAAGATAGTCGTCAGACAGCTCGACTTGTTTGAAGGCTCAACTCATCTCAACTCCATGGCATGTTTGGGATAGTTTGGGGTCAAAATGGTTTTGACAGCGAGGTTGATGACCGTTCCAGTGGTAGCTGCAGAACCTTGCATCCAAGTAAAGCATCCAAGTAAGTAAAGCATATATCATTCATGAGTGTATTGAAAGAGGGCAACCTCCCACATACACCCTGGAAGATCACAACTACTATGTTGAAGTTGGTCTCTTTGTCCAAAAACACACCCAAACGTCTCACACAAAACCAACGTACAAACCCAAGAGCCCCAGCCTCCCCTGACCGCTGGCTGGATCCGACTTCATCGGACGCTGCCGACTTCAGGTGACCTCATCATCGAAGCAGGCTTGTACCCCATCGTCTTCGATGCGCAGGCGGCGGCGGCACCGCGCTCGGCACCGCGCCGATCCGCGCGGATCGCGCTCGTCGCGGGCGATCGTCGGGCGGGGCCATGGAAGCCAGCTGGTTCAGTTCGTGACCGACCAGACCATCCCGAACTGAACGGTCTAACGGTTGCTTCGGTCACCTTTTCAGAGCAGGACTTGTCAGGTCGGTCACTGCATTGGACTCCAACGTGTTCATTGGAACGTCGCCATCTCCGTGTCACTGAGTGGTGTCCCCTCGCCGTGGCGACCGGCGAGGAGACCTGCAAAGCCAGCGCGGAGGCACGCTATGGCACGGCATCGCCCAGCGCCAGTAGCAAGGTGCATGGCTACTTAGCAACAAGCGCATTACTAGTAGCAAGAAGCTACTACTTGTAGTAGAGAACAGCAAAAATAAAAGTAAAAGATTGGACATCTGGATTGGCATCCCGCCTGACCTGACATGACTAACCGAACTTCGGAGTTCCATCGAACTTCCGTGACCGACCAAACATTTGGGCCTGGCTTGTGACCTGAAAGTGGGGGATCAAGTTCGGAGTCAAGTTCGGTCACGAACGGAAGATCCAGGTCGAACGAAAAGGTTGCACGCTTGCACGTTGACTTCAAACTGCATCCTCCGGCCGTACGGTGTTGGAGCCCCCCAGGCCCTTGCCCTTGTCCTTCACACGGACAATCAAGAAGAATGGCGCGAACTGGCCATCCATTCGTCTCAATTGTTTGGACCGGATGTAATTCGTTCCCCGATGCAACCACGGAACGGCAGGTTTGCCGCCAAAGCATCCGTGCTGCTGGGACCCTCTTGGGCTTTGTCACGGCCAAGCCCAGCCAACAGGACTTTGTTCGCACGAGCCGTGGAAAGCGCACGAGGCTTTTTGGCTGAGCGTTTCAGTCCAAGTGGGAATATGAGTCAAATCAAGGTGCCTGAGTGGATGCTCCTGGTGCTTGGGGTGGGATTTCAGAAATGCTTTGCGATCGATTGAGTCATTTGCTTGAGTTACCTGTGGTCCAGTGGCAGCCAAACTTTGCATCGCGGACTGCGCAGCGCAGGAAGAGCGCAAGATGCAAAGCGCCTGGGTGCCCCAAGACGCTCAAAGGAAGCTCCGGAATAGTGGACCTGTTGAAACATGTTGATAAGCGCTTCATGAGTGGAACAAACCCAGCACAGCTGCTAAGATGGAGAACAGACCTCCGATTGGGACCCGTTTTGGTGGTACCGAACGCCGCATTCACTTGGAACCTGCGGCCTTGGAACCCCGCCGCGCTGAGCCGGATCGCTCCGAGGCCAAATCCAAAACAGCCCAGGCGTCGTCCGTTCGCGGTCGAAGGTCCGGGTGCAGCGCATTCGAGCAGCGCAAGCCGGCGCTTGCGCTCAGAGTTCTCTGAACTTGGGTATTTGTCTTGTTTGCAGGCTGCCAGCCAGCCAGTCTCTTAGTCTCTCAGTCTTTGATGCTTTGATCCTTTACCTGATCCTTAATGTATACATTCTTGGACCAATATTCTTGGGAGCCACTGGCCAAACTCACTCACGGCCCCCCAAGAGCGCTGCTCCGCGCGGAGCGCGCTCTTCTTCTCTCTGAGGCAGAGAAGTGGAGCGCTGGCCTTTGGAAAGCTGATCAAAGAGACGGCGCGACGCCTCGGGGGTCCAAAGACGTCCCTCCTGAACAGTCCCTCCGGGTTTCATGGTGTTTCAGAGCGTCTCAAGTTGGATGGGACTGCAGTACATCAACCTGTATCCAGAATGGCTCATTTCATGGGTGCAAGTCATGACGTATTTGACTCCTAGGCTAGCTTGGGGGTGACATGAAGATTTTACATGTTGGCAGTTTCTTTTCCATTTTGAAGGAGATCTCTATCTTAGTTCTGCTAAGGATCTGGTGGAATTCGCCATACGCGCTTGGGTGCTCAGCTGCCTTGGTTCCTTTTTCTAGGCCCAAGGTGGATTCTTTTTCCACGCCCCAACTCATTGTGTCCAGCCGATGAGGTGGAAAAGCTCATGCAGCACCACAAGCACAGTAGCCTCTTCCTGCAAGATGCTTGTCTCGTGCACGCTACTCAGTACAGCGCGCATGCTTTTACCACTGAGCGGAACTGAGAGTGGGACTGAATCGGCGGGAGGTTCCAATGGCATCCGATGTCAAAAGAAGGTTCGGTTCCTGTGTAAAAACCGGCATGAACTGCGCCTGGATGATGCAACATTTTCGCTTCAAGCTAACGCATTTTGATGCAGACTTTGTTTGCCAAAACCAGTTGTGTCCAGTTGCGATGATGTGCCCAGCATGCTTCGCAGGGAGGCTTTGACATCTCTTTGGCCTCTGCGCTACGCTGTCCTCACACTCTGCATTTGCTCGGCACACAGTCCAGATGCGGCCAGTCCTGCGGAGAGCTCGGAGAGCTCGGTCCGGACGCCGATCGGAGCCAGCCACTTAGAGACCTTTGGATCCGCTGACGCGGCCGGTGCCGGTGCTGGGACCCGCGGTGCCCGCGGTGGCCTAGGCTTCGATGGGGCGGACCTGGCGCGGGTCCGTGAGACCATGGGTTCTGTGACTTCAGGAGACGCCGTAGGGGAAGAGGAGGACGCCGCGGAGATGGGCATGGCCGCAGACTTGCTGAGAGGAGTTGGGGAGGTGCTGAAGAGTCTCCGGGAATCTGCCAGAATCAATGAGTTGTCCCTGCTGAGCTTGACGCAGAAGTTGCGCCAAAAGACCAGCCGGACCCGTGGGTCCATTGAACAGAAGAACAGCAGCAAGCCGCTTGCTCGCTCTGGATCAGATGTGCTGGGAAAGGAACATAATCAAGCGAAGTACCACTTGAAACAGGTCACGTCTGGACTTGAAGGCTTGACCGATATTGCCAATAGCGTGGAGGATGCAAAGGATGATGCGTCGACGAAAGCGCAGACAGCCTGGGACTTAGAAACCTTTAGACACAGTTCCGCATACATCCGCATACCACTCTGTTGAGAGCATGCTTGATACTTCTACTGACTTCTACTTGGGTTGGATTTTGCTATTTTGCAGCTTCGCCCAAATTGATCAGTTCATTTGCCTCTTGGATCCTCTTAGATCGTCTTGGCCTAGGTCGACCGAGCCTTCCAGGTGCATCAAGAAACCTTGCAGGACATGAGACGAGCCATTGACCATCTGGCCATTTCTGCTGAGAAGTATCAGCTGGATGTGCTGAAGTTCTTTGCAACGCAAGAAAAGGCAGACAGGTTCTCACCCCTGGCAGTAGCAGCCGCTGGAGATTGATCTGCGAAGTATGGCAGTCCTGCGAGCCCCCGCGCTAAAAAGACATGCTCCGGGGTTGTGCTTGGAGCAAGAGCCTTTTCCAGGCCAACATACGGTGGTGGTGCACAGGAAGTTGATCATGAAGCCCAAGTTTATTTGTGCAGATGATGTTTACATGCAAAAATTGAGCTCTTCTTTCATATCAGGCTTACAAAGCCATATGTTGGAGCCCCGCTGTCCCTCTGAATTGAGCCTTTCGACCACCCGCGTGACCCACACTCAGTTGCGTGCCTATGCGCACGTGCCGATGTGTAGGATCATCCATGCCAGCTGAGGTTACGCTCCCTGGCTGAATCCTCTGATGACGGATTGAAGGCCGGCTTGAAGTCCTTGTGGCACCTTCGTGGTGGGACGAGGTGGAAGGCTTGTCCGGTTTGACGAGGGGGTTCTGGTGAAAACGGAGAGAAGCGGTATGTTCTGGTGAAGCATTCTAACCTTTGCACCCTAGAAGATCCAGAAGAAATACAGCTGAACATGCCTGAAGGAAATATTGGTTTTTGAAACACGCAACCCTTTTTGACAGATCTCCTTATTATAACCTTAACCCTCATGCGCATGGCCCGCGCATGTGTTGTTTCTCTTTCCTTCCTTGGAAGGCTGTGCAGTCCGCTGGAGTCCTTCAAACGCTGATGGCCTCGTTGCAGAAGCATAAACGTCAAGATCTCAGATTCTTGAATTGGCCGCTGCCGCTACGTTACGTGTTGTGCACGCCTGCAAAAAGGGAGCACAGTCAGCAAAAGAAGAGCCTGGATCCGTCATGTGTTCAAGTGGTTGAATTTGATTTTTTATTCTTATTTCATTGACCTACTGTACAAAGCCACGCCGAGAATGGTTGTACATGACGATCAGCAAACGTCCAGTGACTGGTGGTGATCTCTTCCGTCCATGTCCCTCCATTTTGCCTAAAATCGGTCTTTGATTCGATCAGCTAGAGAAGTTCGGCAGCAAACCCATGAATTTCTTCATCCCGCCCACGAGCCACTGCATGATGAGCCACTGCATGAGGAGCCACTGCACCTTTCATCTGAAAGAGCCAGCTGACCCAAGTCTTCCAGAAAGAGCGATCTAGGTGTGATCTATGCCCTTTTTCATGCACCGCCAGACCCCTCCTTTCTCGCCCTGGCGCCCACCCAAGCAGGTCAGTATCTCTTGGTTCGAACCTTCGAGGAAATCCGAACGCCTCTCCAACTCTCAGCCTCCCATCACTCTTTGAGCATCACTCAATCCCAATTCCTCGATCATCTCATCCATTCTGCCCCAAAAAATACCAAGTCCAGCGCCTCCGAGTCCGGTTTGGCCCGGCCTAGTCATGGTCAAGTCTCAGGTTCCGAGGCGGTGAATTTCCATGGCTTTCGAGTGCTGTGGGGTCCGGCCCTCAGACACGGCCACCCGGTGCGTGCGGCGTGCGAGCTTCCGTGCCGAACGCTTCGGCGGTGGGTGGGTGGGGTGTTTTCTCCAAAGGTGGACACCTAACCAGGCCAAGTTCAGAAGTTTATATGCTGTTCATTGATGCATCTTTTCAAGAAATGGAGTGATGCGACTCTATGGTTTGGCATGTTAGTCTCTCCCCGTATCTCCAAGAGTTATAGCACTATAGTGACCAAACAGTTGGTCGTGCGCTCATGTGGGTCTCTCCCTAAAACAAGACCACTGACCTCCCCCCCCCCTCCTTTCCTTCGCCTGGTTTCGCTCCCCGACGCGGTCACGCGCTCCGCCCGCCGAGGCCTTCTGTCCAGTTCCACGTCCCGACGCGCCGGTACCGAGAGACGCGCGGGAAGGTCGGGAGGCGCGGGAAGGTCGTGGGAGGATGGAAGAAACACCGTAGCAGAAGATTGGAGTAAAGAATTGTTCTTACGTTATATTACTCAATTCAGGTTACAAAAAGTAACACATCGTTGCTTTTTTACTATGAGGTGTTAACTAATTTGATGGTGACCCTGGAGTCAGGAGCCAGCACGCTGGCACCCCAAGACCCGAGGAGGGAGAAACGTTGAAGCGACTAAGCAAACGTTGAGGCTTCCCAATGAGTGGCTCATTGAAGGCAGCACTCAACTCATCAGCCCTGCCCTGACGAGTAATTCAGTACAGTACTAAGCGCCTAACTTCAGCTGGAGAAAAGCGGGATGACCCTTTCCACTGCCTCAACTGGCCTCAACCCATGCCCTCCGGCTCTCGATGTAATGCGATGTATGTTCACGGCTGAGGCGAAGCGTTGGAGGCAGACCGGGTGGTGGTTTTTGGAGAGGAAGCTGGGATGTCGCATGAGTGTGTACACCATGCTTTTCGCAGGATGGTTTGTCACATGGTTTGACCTTATGAATCGAAGGTAGTGATTCCTATTAGATTACTTCTTTTGCACACTTGAGCATAAAGCTCACTCGAACGAGCAGAGTGAACCGTGGAGATCTTCATTCGCACCTTTTACTGCAGACGAAAGAAGAAGACCTTGGCTGGTGAACCGTGGGAAACGTGAATGAGTCCACCATAACCATATTGTTTGAACAAAGGTGAAACGTGAAGAGACGAGGTATGAAACCTTTTTGGGACCTTTGAGTAAAAATGGGAGAGATTTCACACCAGAACATGAGGAGATGGATTGAGTTCGTTTCCCCAGGAGAGGTGAAAACAGCTTGAGCCCCTTGGGCCCTGAGGATTGAAGTAGGAAAGAGAAAATCATATGAAATCTAAGTGCAGCACAACGTTTGTCCTCCATGTCGTGCGACTTTTCTGGGGCCATGGGGGCTTCCTAACTGCTTTGCTGGAGCACGTTCTTTGTCAACGATCAGGGCCAAGTTGGATCATATATGATCATATGGATGAGAACCAGGGATGATGGGGGCCAAGGATGGGCCAAGGGTTGGATGCCTCAAAGAAAACACACCATAAACTATTTCTTTTTACTAGTCTTCAAAAACCATGTTGTCGCCTGTTTTCTTGGTGTCACTCTCTTTCTACATCAGGCCGGAGTTGTGGAGTGGAGCACTGCGGCCTTGGCCCGCTTCATGGATTGCCCTGCCGTGCAGAGTGCCCTGCTGTTGGTCGTGAACCGCTTGTGTTTGAAGAATCCAGATGTCAAGGCGTGGAAAGCGGGAAGGTATGTGAAGGTTCTTGGACTATGTGACATATGGCTATCTACCAGGCTTTGGGGCTCCAGGTTTTGACCCGCAAACCATGCACATCATGTAACTCTCAAAGCTTTCAGGATTTATGACGTCTCAACATCTATTTCCATAAACGGACGTTCGGACCTGTCGCACAGCTCGCCAGCTCGCTTTCCTTCACCTGTCAGGTTGCCTACGTGAAGGCGAAGATTTTGCCACTGATCTGGCAGATCCTGGAGACCGAGAATCTCTTCCTTCGTGGCCGCTCCTTGGCGGTCCTGGCCACCCTGGCGAGCAACTGTTTTTCGGTGACGGAGGAGATGATGCAGATGGGCGCTTTAGAATTGGCGGTGGACATGCTGCAGTCACATACAGAGAATGCACAAATCCAAGGTCGCTCCATACAGATGCTTTGGGGTTTCATGCAGGTCAGTCGTGATCCACAAGTAGAGGAGATCTATACGGAAGAGATGTTGGACGTTGTGTTGACCTCCATCCAATCGCATGCGACGAAGGAACAGTTGCAAAGCTTCGCCTTGGGCTTTCTGTGGACCTTCACCTCTTCTTCACTTCGGAAGAGATGGCTCTTGGCACGCAAGGGCGTGGCGACGGTGTGCACGAGCTTGGAGGCATTTCCACATAGCTCCATGGTACAGAGGCATGGCCTGGAGGTGCTTCGGAGCATGTCCACCTCGGACGGGAGGACGGGTGGCCAAAAAGGGTGGGTGGGTCGGTGTCTTCGACCTAGAGTCCTAGAGTCCTAGAGTCATCGACCATCTTGTGTGCTTCTGTTTGGTGGCTTTCCCACCTTCTCTTTGGTCTTCTTATTTAATTTGTGTTCTTTCTGTTTTTGTTGGACCAGCACAGCCGCTTTCCAAAACCGCCCTGACTGGGCCGACCACAGCCGCTGCTCCGACCCGCAACGCAGTCGGCGCGACAGGAAGTGGGTGCTCTCGGATGGGCCCAGCGTGGAAGCGGTGACCGGTGCGCTGAAGCTTCTGCGGCACGACGCGGAGGTGATGGCCGCCGCGCTGGGGCTTTTGGGGAACTTGGCCTGTGGCAACGTGGAATTCAAGCGACGAGTCTTCAAAGAAGGCCTTTGCAACCAAGTTCTCGTGGTGATGGAAGAGCATGCCAGGGATGTGGCGGTTCAGGTTGGACAAACGCTTTTGACACAGACGACTCGTTTGGTTGGCGGATCTTTTGTGCCAGGCTCAGTGGATCGATCAAAATCCCCATTCCTTTGGGTCGAACACACAAGATTCACAAGATCTTCCTTGTTCCGCCACCATTCACCATCCAGCACCAATCCAACTATGAAAAGAAACATTAATGAAACTCTCCCTCCATCTTCACCGCTTTCCCCGTTTTCTTACTTCAAAATAGGCCGCCGCATTTTCTCCGCCGGACCCCCCACCTGCGGGACCCCCCACCGCAGGTCTTGGGCACCTGGGCCTTGGGTGTCTTCGTGGGCCTCAGCCAGAAACGCGCACGGGAACTCTTCGAGCTGGGCGGCAAGGACGCTACTAGCTAGGGGCTCCTGGCATCGCGGAGCGATCGGACGCTACGAACGGGGCTCCTGGCTGTACTACTAGGAGCATCCTTACTACTAGTAACAAGAAGCTACTAGGGGCT